GGAGGAGGAGGGGGGAGGAGGAGATGAGGAGAAGGAGGAGGGGAGCGGCTGCGTGCGCAGCTTCAGAACAGAGTCGCTGTGACCGAGCCGCAATGAGGAGATAAATAGAACCCTTATCTATTTATTTTGGAAATATTCGGCTTTAATTGATCCGCTGAGCGAAGCGGAGCGAAGCGGAGGTGAAGGCACCGATGTTCTCCTGGTGTAACGGGTGAGTAAAAGCTGGCGTTTGGAGTCAAACTGTCATTTAAAGGCAGAATGACATTTAAGGGATAAAAGCCAGCGGGCTTTAAGCCGAGGCTCCTTCGGTTTTAATGGTAGGAAGGCTGCGATATGGAATGACATTAACATTTTATTCAATAAACTAACGCTGCTGTCTGCGCTAACAGCTCCGCTCATTTTATTACTGCAGACGGTGGAGACAGCTGGCTTTGTGCGGAATATAAGGCGATGGGGGGTGGGGGGGGATAACAATTATTATTATTATTATTATTATTTAGGACGGTATCATTCCTGTCTGTGATTTATAGTGTTTAAATTGTTTAAAGTCAGACGCTCTTCTCATAGACAGCTGTCGGCTCACAGACCAGACGCATCAGGGGCCCGGTTCAGACGCTCCAGGGGCCCCCCGTACAGGGCTGGGTGTCTGGGTGTCCCCCGGGGAAAGTGGCGCATTGGCTGCAGAGGGAAAGGGAAATCTCCTTGGATGAATCCCACAGTGACTCGGGGTCAGGGTCTGCTGGAGCAGGCTGCCTACAGGATCTGCTGTGTTTGTGTTTTGGAAAATAGCTGGAAAAAAAAAAAAAACACTACACAGAGACTACACCTCCATGTTTTATTACCAGTTAACCACTAATTTCTGTGTGTTTTAGTGTAATTTAATAAGGCTAAACCAACACGATGTTCATGAATATGTTTTTATCTATATATCTATATATATATTTTTTTTCAATTGTGCAAATATAAATATTTTTTTTCCAATCTGCACTGAAACAACAATATATAATAATAAACAGCATCCAGTTCCTTCAGCAGTCCACCAAAGACTGATTTCATCTCATTGTTGTGAATTGAAAACAATATAAAAGTCAGAAATAAAGTGGCGTAAAGGTTTATCTAAGGCTTAGGTTTCATAAAAGAACTCTACCAACCTATAAACATTGAATTGAGTTTATTAATATAGCACCAATTCACTAACCTGACT